TATTGCAAAATTGATATCTATACAGACTCACAATCTGTAATAGACAAATATTAAAAACTTACTCAAACAACAACAAATTTCTCATATCATTATTCTTACAACAACTGGCCTATCTGGCATACTCTACTCAATTTTATCAAATTCTACAAACTCACTATTATACTTCACAAAATATTAGCTCACAGTGATGATGATCTAAATAATACAGCTAATACACTTGCACAAAATCATTAAACACTACCATTTCTCAAATTCAAACATACTCATTTATATAATTCTAACTTTTACATCATTTGAGAAAACTTCTTTATAGAACAATCTATATACAAGCTAATCAAAACAATATGCAATGTATATACTATTGCAATGTAGTCATCCCAAAACTATAACCAAATATAGGCCCACTTATATGACCAAATTAATTGGAATTCTACTTGATTATACCTTAACAATAACAACAAATATTTACACAAATTTACTAACTTCAAACTTAGCAAACTTAAAACCTTCCGTATTAAACTTCTTTATAATGAACTACCAATACTATCATATCTTTATAAGTATTACCTAAACTATATATCAGATAACAAATACTTTAAATGCAACCAAATAGACTCAGAACTTCACTAAATTACACACTATAACACTAATATACTACAAGAAATTATTCTACAATCAGTAACTGAAACTCTCAACTAGGGTTCCTAGATTCAGTTCAGGTTCAGTTCAGTTCAGATCAAACCTGAACTCAACCAAACTCGAACAGTATAATTTTACTAATTTTAAACCCAAACTCAGACTCAAACTCAGAGTTCCTGAACCTGAACCAGACTTGAACACAGTTATAAGTTTGGTTTGAGTTCAGTACGAAGTTCACAAACATGTTCAGGTTTGAATATGAAATAATCAAAAAAGGCTTTATAGTCTAAAGTTTAATAGACTCAATTCCTGAAAACTTTTCAGAAATTGAGTCTGATAAACTATAAACTGTACTATTATATAAATAGAGCCTCAACTAGACTTGTTAATAAAATAAACTGTAGTTTAATCTAAAACTATAGTTTTAGATTAAACTACAGTTTACTGTAATTTGTAGTTTGCATTAGAGATGAGCAAGGTAATAATATAAGTAATAATTACTTATTTTTTTACCTAGTACTTACACTTATGTATAATTACCAACTATTACTTATAATGAATAATTATTACTTATTAGAGAATGTGAATTTTAAACTCAATAATTTGTTGATCAGATTGAATTTTGCATCTTTACTTATTATTATTTATTATATAAAAAATCGTAGAAATTAATTAAAAATAATAAGTAATGGTAATAATATGTTACTTACTTTGTCTATCTCTAGTTTGCATCTCTAATTAATGTAAGGGATAATTGGTGTAACATTTAAAGGAATTATCTTGAATTTGATCAAGTTAAGTGAACAAAAAAAAAAAAAAAACTTATACAACAAATAATGAGTTTTATATCGATGCAATTAAAAGAAATTATATCAAACGATAATGCCTCTAATAATGACTATAATTATGACCATGGTAATGATCAGTGATAGCAAATGACAAAGTCATAAAAATTTTTATGAAAATGACTATAAATAATATATTATTTTAAAATGACAATATCATTTATTATAAAAAACTTTTATAAAAAACCATGGCAAAATGACAAGTCATAAAAAATATTTTTATAAATGACATTAAAATGACAAATAAATGACAATAAAACTAATACTAAATATGTTCTTAAGACCAAACTCCTATGCGAAGAACAATTCTTAAATAACCTTTAAACTGCTTAATTATACTTCTTAACTAACTTCTTTAAAATTACCTTTAGCAAACAACAATTATCAATTTATCTGACCGATATAAAAAAATCTGAGGAAAAAAGTGAAAAATAATAAAATCTCTACAATTATAAAGTAATTCTTAATTAGCTAAGTTAAAAACATGCTCTAAAGGCGAATTCTTCTATAATTTTAATATTGTACATGTAATTTTCACCTACATATAAAATAAAAAATTAAAAAAAAGTTTAAGTAATTATGTTATAGAAATATCCTACTAGCAACATGGTGCCTTACTTAGCAATCAGCCAACCAGAAGTGTTAGAGAGATTGGAGTGCCAAAGAGAGCTATTATCTCCCCAAGCTGTCTTATTATAAGGATTTTCTCGCCTAGTCACAAGTTTTTATATATGTACATACATATTAATTAAGAATGATAATATAACTAACTAATGCTCAAAGCATATTATTTTTCCCTTTATACACATAACTAAGAAAAACTCACTGCATATAACAGGCGTTAATCTAGTTTACTAATTATACAGTTATCTGATTATCTGTTATGCTGTTTGTTATTATGTTTTGCAAGTTGTTATTGACTAACTGAATTTTAATTTATTGCAGTTTGCAAATTGATGCATCTTTGATCAAATTTGTAGATCACTGAACAACTACCTGATTGTTGTTCAGTTGTGTGATTATACAATTTTTTAGTGAGCATAGATATGACTGACAAACTTCATGAAAATAATATATTAATACATATTGAATCTTCTGCTAAAAAACACATTTTATAATTATTTACAATCACGCAATTGAATGATTTTATAAGTGTGCAGCAATCTACGAATTTAATTAATTTGCAAACTGATTATGTTTATATTATAATACTGTACAAGAGATAAAATTCACATAAAGTATTGCACATATGTAATACATTATTAATATTAATACATCTAGCTATTAGTGCCTGATATGAAACTTTATTAAGTAATTTTTATTGAGAACACACAGTAATCAGCTGAATTCAAGATGTATCAATCTTTCATGAGATCATTGTTAATATATATGCATGTAATTTATAGAGTTCTAAAACAAGTAACTGATTAAAATTGTACTCATATACTTTCTTGTGTGCTATTAGTTTGTCAGCCTGTCTGAATTGGTCAAAGCTGAAATACTAGTTTCAACTAGTATCTTGGTCTACACAACTTAGTAGGGTCATTTCTGGTGTATTTCTCCTTAGCTATCTTTTCATTTCGTTAACTTGAATGATTATAAGTTTCTGCATAATAAGTACTATTTATTTTAGTTATCTGGTTTATCTATTATCTGAACAGGATAGATAGATTCTACCTTTATACTAGTTTATTGATATTTTAAGAATAAATTAAAATAATCATATGCGATTATAAATTTACCCCACAATACCTGTATCTAATAAAATTACACATAATTATTATTGCTCGATCAGACTTTATTGCTATAATGAAGAGAATAGGTCTGCTGAGTCACTTAATAGCAGGTGAGTAGAAGGGACGATAGAGCCAGCCTTTACCAAGGCGAGTGATAATGAACAGAAAAATAACAGACTTCTATTTAATAAACAATTCTTAAATAGCTGCTAACTCAACTAACTGCCCTACCCCTTCCGCTTGCTATTTATATGCTTTAACTTACCACTAACGTACAGTCATAGGCAGTTTATTAAAAACAAAACAATTACATAAATCATATGTGATCACGAATTTGTCTACAATACCTGTACTCAACAGGATATATAAATTATTATAAAAGGCTAATGCTAATACTACTTACATAAGATCTGCAATCAAGTCACAATAATGATTGCTTTGTCACTTCGTTGACAAGCTTATCAGAACAAGTTTTAATTATCTAAAATTTGTGATGCCATAATCTGAGTAAGTTAAATAATCTTATACTTTTCATATTGTTAGAATCTAGAATTGCTAATCTAAAAAGGCAACTAATGCAAATTTATAGGTTTATATATAAGAAGAAAGTAATATTACTAAAAAAATAAGTTTTATAAGAGGCTGTATTAAATATGTGAAAAATCTAAAAATAAATTTAGAAAATCCTTCGAATTCACAAAGAAACAAAAATTTATATAAAATACTTTTTAAGGCAAAGCCTTTATGCTTCTAAGAATTTTTGTTGTTCTTCGCAGTGTAATATTCAATAGATTAGATAAAAGATAATAAAAATTTTTGTAAATATAAGAATATATAAATTGTATTAATAAAAAGATCTAAAACTCAGAGTTTTATTTAAAGTTTTTGCCGCACTCTCATATTATTGTTTTACTAATCCAAATTGTTAGAATTTTTTTTCTTATTTTAGTCTTTTATTAGTTACTTGAAAATTCTAACTAAGCTATCTATTTCTATCTATAATAATTAATAGCAGAAATAATGAGCTAAAATCGTCACAAGTGGTCTATATATTTTAAAATACTTGATGAACTTGCAAATAAAAGTAATAAAGCTGCTATATGTTATACCTGTTTGGAAGCTTTGGGAACTGAAGCCAAAAAAATAACAAACAAGGCAAATTTATGTTATAATCACTTAAAATCTTGTCCATACTTCGCACAAAAATATTTTTTTGAAAAATTAGAAAAAATTCTTCAAATCGATAATGAATTTAACTCTGAATCTAGTGAAGAAGATTCTGTAAAAAAAATTAAACAAACAGATAAATTTTATTTTTAAGTTTTAAAATAATATAGTAATTGTAATAACTCGTATTAAAATAATTTAATAGTTTCTTAAAATAATAATAAACTGGTTAAAAGAAAAAAACAAACAAATGTTAGTCAATACTTGCATCATCCTTTACCTAATAATATTCAACAACAATTTGAGCAACATTTAATCCATGGAACAGTAATGTATGGATTACTATTTAAATGGATACAGGATGATGATATTGTAGCTGCTTTTAAACTTGTTAATACTGAAATTAAACTACCTTCACGTCGCAAATTAAGTAGATCTATTCTAAAAAAAGAAGTAAATATTACGAAGGAGCAATTTGAACTTATAGTAAAGGATGATAATACTGGTGTAACTTTAATATTTGATGGATGGAAAAATGTAGTTAAGCAGAAAATAATAGGTACTATACTTATTACCTCTAAAGGTAAAGCAATCGTATGGAATGCTGAAGATATTAGCTCAGAAAGAAGTTATACTTTTAATATAAATTCATTTACTGAACGATATATTGAGGATTTAGCTATAAAAAGTATTAATGTAATTAGTGTTATTTCAGATTCTGCAGGAGAAAATGTTAAATCACAGTATGTATATATCTTTATATATTTAATTAAAAACTATTTCTAAAATAGTTAAACTTTTTTTATACTAGAAAAGAACTATGATTATAATATACAAATATTGTATTTTTGTCTTGCTTTGCCCACCAGGCAAATTTATGTGTGGGCGATATTTTTAAGTCTTTAGAAAGATATAAAGAAATTTCAAATAAAGCTATAAAAATTATTGGCTGTTTTAATACATTTACTTACTTTTTAGAGCAACTTCGTAATCAGCAAATCATCTTTATAATGGAAAAGTCTATGCATTAACATCGCCTTGTAATACAAGATGGAACAGCTTTTATAATAGTTTTCATAGTATCTTAAAATTGAAAGGAGCATTAACAGTAGTATTAAATTATTTTATTACTGTATTAAATTTAATTTATTATTTTTATTATTATTAATTATAAAATAATTTGATAATAATTATATATATTATAGATACTTGTAACTAATATGGAAAATTCGACTAATTCAGATAAAAAAAAGGTTTTATTTGATATAGCTGAAATTATCAATAACTCTACATTTTGGAATAATTTAAAAGAGTTAGATGAAATTCTTCTTCCATTTTGTGCAACACTTAATAAACTCCAATGTGAATCAACACACTTATATGATATTATACATGCATATGCATAGATAGTTGAAACTGTTCAAAAAAGACTTGATTCACCATTTCATTCACATATATTATTACGTTTAGAGAGATGATGGTCTCAATGGGAACAGCCACTTCTTATATTATCTTGGTTACTTTATCCAATCTATGGTTTAAAAAAACTTAATATTCATCTAAATAGTTTATCAGCACTAATACTTGGAAAATGGGCAGTTTATTATTATACAAATTAGTTTTTTGTAAGACCAGAAAGTATTTTATTAGAACTTGAAGATTTTTTAGCAAATAACTCACTATTCGATACTATATCTTTTAACCAATTTCATAATGATATAATTAAATATTGGTCCTTACGTGAAAGACCAATTTTATGACAGCTAGACCCAACGTACAGAACAGGCTTTGGACTCTTGTACAACCGTGAAAACCGGGTATATGGCGAGTGACTCTACAGAAGAACTACCCTTCCCTTCAGTTACCAATACATTATCTCACACTAAGAAACTACCTGTTTTAACAACTTCCTACTAATAAACAATCTTCCTATACTCAGTAAAAATGAAACACTCATTTCA